AGTCTACTTGAATCAAGCTGTTTGTAATGTCTCAGTGATTGATTGGCAGGAATGGCCAGAGTGCTATGAAGAGTTACCCTTAAGCTTTACCAGTTGGAGCTAATAGTATAACTTTGATCTGATGAAAATCATCACTAGCTCTAGTGTTATAATACTTAAGCACTGCCTGATACAAATCTTTTGTTAAATGCGATTTGCCAACACCAGCCCCTCCACTGAGGAAGCAGTAGAAAGGGGTTTCTGAGGTTTTAATCTGATGTAAAATGTGATAACAAATTATTTTTGCTCTTTATCGGATGTCTGGACCATTTGACGAAAATCGAAATCAGGTAATTCATTCAATATCAGTGGTTCATTATTCAGCAATGTTGATGGAATGTTGAGATCATCAGAGAGGTCATAGTTTTCACTTAAATCAGGATGTAAATCTTCATGAGATCCAATCCTTGAACGGAATTGGTCAATGGAGATCCCCATATTTACTTGTGTGCTTGAGCGAGCAACAACAACAATCCAACTAACTAGAAACTCAGTTTATTAAAATAGATAACACTCTTGACAGTTCAAGGCAAACAATAGTTTCTTTCAGTTTGTGACACTTTGAGACACTCGTGAGACATTTTGAGACACTCGTGAGACACTTTGAGACACCCTGAGACTCTTTGAAGCGCAACCCGCACAAATACATTCAAGCTTGACCGTTTTGGGGTAGACCCTTTAAACTGACAAAGTTTCATTGAAATCGGTGAGATGGCATGTAGCACGACTGAACGGTGCTCTCGTGGACACGCTTTGCATTCCGCATTGAGTTCTTCATCCCGTTCAAAATAATATTCTCATCATGATTAATGGAAGCAATGGCGTAGCAGTCAAGAGCTGGATTCAAATGTACATTTATTTACTCTTATTTACTCTTAATTAAAGTCAATTGAGACAAGATTGAACTCCATTTAACCTCATTTAACTTTAGAGTGTTGAGTTCTTTTTTTATTACTATTATTATAGCACAGCTAACATATCTAACCTCTCACAATTGCCTTAAGGAAAGTTGGATTTAACTCAATGGCTGCTTCTGCATCCCTTAGTGAATCCTGGTGATTTCCTGTTATTGAAATAAATATCTCTGATTAACCATACATGTTGCAAACCAACTACCATTACTATAATTTTGGGAAAAACTTGTGATGCTCGTTGATATCTGGGGTAAGAGGTTACTTCTTTGTATATTTGAGAGGCCAAGATAAGATGTAAATTTTTCCGGGCATGCATTCAAAATCATCACCTTTTTCAGAAAACTACTACTGACAACTTAATAGCTTCAAAATAGAAAAAAAAATGCATATTAAAGCTCTCATCATCTTACCAAGTTTAGAATGTGCAATTGCCCTGTTGTTGTGCAGTTTGGCCTTCAGTTCTTTGTCATTGCAGTTCATTTTAATTCCTTTGGTGTAAAAATGAATAGCATTGATGAAATCTCCTTTCTTGAAGGCCTCATTACCCTCATTCCTATAAACATCAGCTGTGGCTGCAAAGAAAAAATAAAATAATTCGAAAAAAAATTAAAAAATGGGTGTCAAAGTCTGTGGTCGTAGTTAATAATTATTCGTGTATAGTCAGAGCTGCCAAGATCTGGAGATTTCAAATCTGCAGATTTTCAATAGTTATGATGATGCTAACAATGTAGGTGACAACATGGGTAAGAATAATGATGAGAATTATAAGCATCACTCAACTTGAGACAAACCCCTGGAGATGAGGATTTTGGAGATAGGCTTCCTAAAATTCCTATTCCCTGGGAAAAATTAATAAAATGTTCAAATGCCCCACACAATCTTATGTAAAAGGCGAAATAATTAGCAATTTCACTTTCAACTAGTTGATCAAGCTTTAAAAACTAATTGACCAAGCTTTAAAACCTAGACCTTGAAGCCTTATTTCTTCTGAGGCATTTGTTAGTGAAAGTGCACTATCTGCCTTAAACACCTCCATATTCAATGATAATTAACACTTGTACTCTACTGGAAATTAGATGTGACAGTTTTTATTCAAATTCCCTAACGCCAGTCAGGCAGGGTTAAGCCCCCGCTCACCCTCTTTGGCTTGGATGAAGATCAAATGCCTGTGGGTTGCTCGAGGAGAAAGGAGGGAATGTTGAAGGTTTCAAAGTGATTATGTTTCATTAAAATAGAAAGATGATGGTGATGATGATGATGGTACCTATGATGCAAACTTACAATGGATGTTATATGATGATCAAATAAAGTCTTAACTTATTATAACTTTGTGTTATTGCTTTGAACTGTTAGAAAAGAAAATAGCAAAAGTTTCTGTGTCATAGATCTTCTCAATGAACAGCATATTGTAATCATAGAAGAGAGTCATGACTGGCCAAATATCCTTTAAAGTGGTCATACAGTGTATGTATCCTTTTCCACATCTGCTTGCATTCTTGAAACTGATCGAATAGAAATTGCTCTAACAATAACTGAAGCCGAAGTTGAACCTAGCTCACCTCGTAAAGTGTCCTCGTCAAAATCTGGTGCATTTTCTTTGTCAGGTAAGTCTTCATTTTCACATGGAACTTTAATTGAACTTCTTCCTGTAGCCATAGCAACTGTAAGAAGACTGATGCTTCTTAAAAAGTTGTTCTTTTAAGTCATCCTGGCCTGAAAAAAAGGTGATTGAAAATGGTTGTAAACATCAGCTCAACATATTACCCAGTAGCAAAATAAATATTTTTCCCTTCTGAGAATGGGAGGGATACATAGACACAAAACCAGAAGCCAGTTAAGAGCTAATGTCAACATGCATCAGACAAACAGCGGCAAGTCGCCCAAATTCGTTTTCTCTCCTACTTTCATATTTTGTAGCCCAATATGTCCCGATAATTGTGGTGTAGGTTTTTTGTGAAAATATATTTTAGTTTTTGAGAAATGACTTTTTTTCGTTCGACCGCTCAAATATGCAAATTTTCACTCTGAATATTACCCGAGTTGTGTGACCTCATGTAACGAATTTACTTGACCTCCGGTATTTCTGTTGACACAATCCTTTGTTTTATCATCTAAACTTAATCCCCTGACATTATTGAGGCTGGCACAAAAATATTTATTTTTTGGTGAATATTTTTGTCCGACATACTTTTTCTATGTCGAAAAGTAGCATCAAAACAAAGACAGTTTTAACAATGACCAATAAGACAGAATCTACTGAGCTTCTAGCTTTTAAAATAAAAAAGGATGGTTATAAGGTTACTGTAAAAATTTTCTTGTGTAATTGTGTTGTTCTATCGTGAGACGAACTCAAAGTCCGGCAAAATTTATTTGCTAGCGACTATGAAATATACATGGTGTGTCTATTTGTCGCCACCTTTTATTGGCATATGGAGGCATAAATCGCTACAATTTGAAAAAAAATCTAACTTAACACTCTTACCTAGTTTATTTATGATTTTATAAGACCAATAAGCTGTTTCGGTCATTATATTACGCTTGGGTATTACTTCTTGCCGGGAGCCCAGGTTTTACGTTGTGTTTTCCCCTATCCCAGCTATATCAGAAGCTAGTCACGCAATAATTGATACCAACACAAATGAATATTTACCCTGTATGAAGATTTTTGTTTATGTTGAATTGACAATATTACAATATGTTACTTTTGTGGTCACTAATCGTTGTTTCAGTGGCAGCGTAACAGTTCAAAGCGGGTTGTTGCTTCAACGCTATTGAAATTTATAGTGTTCTGGCAGGAAAGCATAGCATGATGCTCTGGGAATAAAAACTCCTAGGGGCCTTTTACATAATATCGGAATGAGTTTTGTTCAAGAATGAGTTTATCTCGGTTGCCACATGATACCAGAGTAAAATTATTCGAAACGAGTCATTTCTGAATGAGTTAACTGAGGTTTTCATTCCAGAAAGAAACACTTATTCTGGACGACCTTTTGTACCTGTATAATGTAAACGCGGTACGACACTCATATCTGTATGAATCCTCTGTAGGAGCGAGGGAAGCATAGAAAAGGGACGTAAATACTTGTTTTTACTACCTGTTTTTATAATCTAAATTATCTTGCATGTCAACGTGGCATGAAATTCATTTCATTCCGGAATGAAACCCATTTTGGAATAATGTAAAAAGTACCTTATTGACGGACCATTAGATTTTTGATGCGGGGAAGGGGGGGGGGGGGGGGAGGGGGGTCTTTTGCAAATTGCACGATTTGTTTTCTTCCATTGAGCCCGTGCTCGATTTTTTCGGGGGTTATTGCCCAACACCCCAACACCCCCCCCCCCCCCCCCCGCATCAAAAATCTAATGGTCCGTCCCTAAGATGCTATCAGGTCCTACAACTTTTCCTGTGATGAAAGAATTTGGATATATAAGTATTACTCGCGTTGTTGTTGTTGTTTTTTTTTTACATTACCGAGCGAATTTCAAGTGATACTGCGGAAGGGCCCTTTACCACTGTGTGCTTAATTACGCGTCCCACCAGATGGCGGGAAGCTCACAAAGTGCTCAGACATTAGTATAGAAAACTCCGCCTCTGTCTGGATTTTTGAAAATTTCAAGATTTACAAAAGACAGCCTAATTGTCTGCGATAAATTGGGAAAAAATAATCATCTGTATGTTGCAAGTTCATATAATTTGTAACAGCAGCAATTGAAATTATTAAACCAGAGGCTGTAGTAGGTAGTTAGGTAAAGTCTGTATTTAAGAGTGGCCCATCCAGGCCCTGAGCTTATAATCCTGGATTCCTCACATGAAGCGATTAGGTATTACAACTCTTCCCTGGACATGATAACAGTACACCCCATGGTTACCCCCCCCCCCCCCCGACTAATTTCTGGTACCCATTTATACTCCTGGGTGGAGAGGGGTACTGTGAGAGTAAATTATTTTGCACAAAAACAAAACACATGACCTGGCCAGGTTACAAATGCAGATCTCTTGACCCTGACTCCACCTCACTAATCATAAGGCCACCATGTCTCCACAAGAGGAGAGAGTTTATGCTGAATCCTTTCTCATAAGAAACAACTTTTACAAAACCAAAGTAAAATTCTCTTATTTGATTTTTAAATGGGGAAGCAAAAGAAAAAGAAATATACATATCCCAAAAGTCTGCACACCCCCTCCCCTACTGCCTCCTTCTACTTGCTTTTCTGATGGTAATTTCGTTTCTAAGTATGAATTCACTCTATTTAAGACGACAAGGTAGTTTTCCATTACAAGAAATCCGAGATATCGATCATACTTGACCTCTCCAGGCCTTGGCCAAGAAACAATTATAAAGAAATGTGTGGGATGAAAAATAAATGTTCAAAATCTTCAAGGATCTTTCATTTTCTTGTCAAGATTTTTAGGGGTCTTTTATTTCCTTTCCAAGATCTTTAATTTTCTTGCCAAGATCTTTACGGATCTTCAAAATTTTCCTGCCAAGATCGTTCAGGATCTTGGCAGGAAAGTAAAAGATCCTTGAAGATCTTGGCAAGAAAATGAGAGATCTTCAAAGATCTTAACAAGAATTTGGAAGATCCTCAAAGAATTTTCAAAGATCTTTAAAGGATCTTTGAAGTTCTTGTCAAGATTTTTGGAGATCCGGACAAGATCTTCGAGGATCTTGACAGGAAAATTAAAGATCCTTAAAGATCTTGGCAAGAAAATGAAAGATCCTTGAAGATCTTGACAAGAACTTTGAAGATCCTTGAAGATCCTGGCAAGAGAATGAAATATCCCTGAAGATCTTAACAATAATTTTGAAGATCTTTAAAGGTTCTCATAAAGATCTTGTAGGATCGTTAAAGATCCTTCAAAGATTTTCACCAGGGATGTATCACAACAAGTCAAAAAATATAGAAAGCGCTCGCCGCATCGGCACTTTTTTTCGTTGTTTTGGTAGCCACTTTGGAAATTTAGCCAGGCATTTTAAGGTAGGTAATTCAAATGTGATATATTGTAGTGTACACGTAAATACGCTAGTCATAAAATCAGCAGTCCACTGTTTGCAACTCTGCAAAATTATCATGATAATATGCGAAACTTTGTTCGACCATTTCCGCTTGTCGACAAGTCTTTCCACTTGATACAATTTTACTCCGGGTTTATATTTCCTTTTGCTTTTATAAGCAATAATAATCTACACGATCTTTACTTCTTACCGATCGTGCCATGTTGTTTTTGCAACCACACCTTCGGGCATGCTCCGTAGAACTTTGAGTACACCACAGTCAGGGGGTATGGCACTAACGAAATGACTCGGATTAATTGTAATGTTTTCTTTCTTTCATATTGGACTATTTCCTTCTGTCATTTCAAACTAAACTAATAGATAAATATTCGCCACCCAGAATGCCTTCAATGAAAATCACGAACGGGTAGCACGTAGTGCACTCATGATTTTATGTGGAACAAGCAAATGCAATTAGGCAATCTCATTTCAAATTTTCGTTAAATTTCCGACTCGAGTTATGACGAACAAGAACGAGGAGCATGTGGTTCACTCGTTAATTTATGTAGGAAAAAAAAAAGAGCAAAGAAGACGATCATTTATTCCAAAATCTATGTGCGAGCTGGATTTCAGCTTATTTTCATTTTCTACAGGTGTGCTGATAAATATTCAGTTACGCTGTGTTCTTAATATAACCTACATTTTTTCAAAAGAAGTCAAATGATGTGTTAAAGAATTCGTATTTTGATTTGTCGCCTTAAATTTTTCTCTGAATGAAAATACCTGCCAAGTTTTATATCATTTAATAAGCAAGGAGCGTTTTACATCTCCCCTCGAAACATGTGTTTGTGACAACTGCTTCCTCTTTCAATTTCTATAATGCGAACAGGATGTAACACGTAGACGGTAGTTTATAATCAAAATAAAAAGGAAAAAGGCTTCAGATTATCTCGTAACACTCAGTTTTCTCGGTTCTCACTAAATATTCTTCTAAAAAAATAGAGTAAGCAGGGACACAGCACTTTAGATCGATAACATTTTCATAACTTGCTCTTGTCTGCGATCATATGGTCTAGTGTGTTGTTGCCGGCTCACTTTGCTGAAAGACCTATATGAAACCAGGACCCCACGCCTCATACCGGATTGTCTATATTTTACAATGTAATAAGTTTTTCTTTGTTAATACAAACTGGCAATGTTACTGATGGAACACTGCGAGTGGGTGAGACAAAAATCCACTTGGTCTAATTAATTATTTCAGAGCTTACCTTAAAACGACGTTTCGTCAGCGATGCAGCGTTGAATTCGTCCTTAAGAACCTGTTAAATTTGTAAAATTTTGCAAGACCGCAGATATTTTGATGAGTTCTTCAGAAGGTGACTTATAACACGAACGGTGTCGAGAGGGTACTCTTTTCCTAGTGATCTCACGACGTAAGAATATTTGATTTTACTCCTCTGAAATTTAGCTCGTGATAACTTAGAAGCAATGCTTCGAGCTGGGGATGGCAAGCGTTAAAAATTTCTCGCTGCCACCAAAGATGTTTACTTGACCGCTACAGGATGCAAATGACTCACTTTTTGTTTCACGACCATACTGATGTTTTTACCATTGCGTGACATTCTCAGGAAAACCAAAAGTTGATGATACATTGTGAACTTTCCCGAGGAAATGAGTCATGGATAGTGAATAATACACGGGTGCGCGTAAATGTGATTTTGGTTGGTGTAATACGATTCAAGCACGTAACAAATTGACTAATGTTCATGTAGTGCAATGATTGGGTATGTTCTTGCGGACTTCGGACATTGTTTTTATGGCACGTTATGGAACGTGAGTTGTTAGGCATGTATCAGAAAAAGAGCATGACTTTCAGACGGACGAAAATATCCCGTTATTTCACCTTGAGAGAAAAAAAAACTTAACTTATCTGAACTCACACCACAGGCAGCCCAAGCTCCAGCTGTGAGATGATCATCTTGCGAAATAAGATTCAAGGTGATTTTTTCCCCCACAGGCTCGTCAAATTCAAACAAGGAGTGAAAATACTAGGGAATAATAAACACCAATGAACAGTCCACTAGGTTATTTATGATCCAACTGCTTTTTTTTTCGCCAAGTCTTTCTGCTCATTTCTCATAAGGCGGGAAAAGCAAAGTGGATAGAGAAGCGCAGCGTGCGCAGCCGACCGGTTAAACAGGTTTTTTTACAGTACAAAATAACCAACTGTACACATGTGGTATATACATATATTCGCGTTATTTGAACTCTACCTTGTGTAGTTGGATTATAAAACCAAATTATCTCCTTGTACCCCTCAACTCAACGACGCAGCACCACAGTTTCCTTAGAAACTAAACCCATTTATTCATACGTTGTTAATTACAATGCCTGCAGCTGGTGAGAGGCCAAAAGCAACCAAAATATACTTAATAGACTGCACTTGGAGTAGAAATCTCCCAAAAACTCAGCATACTTCGTATACACATACCTTAACATTACTAAAATACTTCTCGAGCGCTTCACATAACATTATTCTCTCACTTTCATACGATCTGGTTAGCTATACTTTATTTTTATTATTTTTGCATTTTTTTTTATTATTTTACATTTTTTCCAGTCTATCGAGTTCATGTTCCATATAAAGCCGTTTTCTTCTTGATTTGTGTTCTTTGTTGAAAGAAATTTGATCATATGAATTAAATCAGATCTTGGGAGTTAAGGGGTTTGAGTCTTTTGGAGTGATAGAATTATCATTAGTTCTTCGGATTAGACAGAGATACTCTACTACATTAAATCGTTTTGTAAAGAATCCTTTGACGATGGCATATATGCGTTGATAACAAAAATCTGAAAAGGAGAGGCGAACATTAATTAATATGACATGAGCCGCAAAAAACGTTCAGTGAAGACGTACATCAATCAACAAAAAAGTCTTCCTCGGCGTTCCTTCCTAGTTCCCAGGAAAGTGTATGCTTAGCCTCCATGCCATAGTTTTAAACTGCTTTCCCCTATGAAGGAGACTGTCAGCGTAGCTCAGTTCAATGAACAATAGCTTTGTAAAAACATTTGCGCTCGTTTTCTACTCGCTTGGAATCAGAAATGTGAATTCAAACTTTCTGCGTCCCTAGAGATAGATTGAAAATTGATTGAACGCAGTCGCGTCTGGCTACCACGATCGCAAAACACCTTAGCGATCTCGTGTTTACCAATTTGTTCACCTTCCTCGAGTGTAACATCAACGACACCACTGTCTTTTACCGCACCTACAAGATTGGGCATCTCCACTCGTCCTGTTTGCAGTTGATTATCAAGGACATTCGTCTCAACCATAACAGTTACTTCCGCCTGCAGGCCACTGAGGGGGAGGAGCAGGGCCAGGAAGCAGGAGAGGGACCACTGTGGATTTTGTTGCCATTCCTTGAAGTATCCTTACAAATGCAGGACATACTGAACTAAAAATTAAGATGTATGGGAATGATTTTGAATTCAGAAAACTATTGCTTTACTTTTCAAAAAAATATTTTCAACCTGGCAACAATAGAAGAATCTCTTCCATAAAGTAATGACATAAGCACAAACAGACTTTTGCCACCTCAAGTCACAGTGACTCAGAATAGCTAGGATTTTATCTTACTTTATAATTTTACTATTATTTCTTAATCCCGAGCGACAAACCAAGAACACGACACAATGACCTGGCCAGGTTTTGAACCCCGACCTCATGACCCAGAGTCCAGCACACCAACCATTACGCCATCGCGTCTCCCTCATAGCGGTAAAAGAACGTGATTTTAAAAAGAGGCGACCTCTGTAAGAGCGGTCCAGGGCATTTCGCATCGGAAAAAAGTTTTCCCTCAAACTTTGCCCAATAAACTATTTTTGGTAACAAGTAAGTAAAACCACATTAGTTTCTGGAAATACCTCAACATAAAATTTTTAGAGCTCTCAAAAGTCAAAGCTGCAAAAGGCCCTTTTTTGACCTCTTGCGACATCGAAAATTTCAAAAGTTGAATAGCCCTGTCCTCGTATCACACCGCAGGCAACAAAAAATATTTTGTATTCTTAAAGTGTGTGATATATAAGGTGTATAAAATGCATTTCAATTTTGATATTCGTTTATTCAGAAGCTCGTCATAATTTATTTAAAAACACTCGTTGGACAGCTTTCTGAAATTGGTTAAAAGTACTCTTTCTTTCTCGATTGATATTGCTCAAGTCCAGACCAGACCATTAAAATCTCCTCTTGATTTCTGCTAATAAGATGTTTGGCTGCAGAAAAAAATAAAAACATCTTGCACTTATTGATTTTCTTCGCCGAGGTGACTTCGAACTTTTAGCGATAGTGCAAGCGTGACAGCCGATTATGCAAATTAGTTCATTGAGCAAACTCCGACCGTTTTATGTGAGTAGCTCAATAAATCTTAGATTTTAACCATTTTAAGTAAAAAACATAGTAGGACAGAGCTTTAAAACCACACCGATTAATACTTTAAGCATTTTAAAAGGCCAAAATTTGACATATTTTATTATCTCGTGACGAAAGACGTCAACAACAACGTATCGAATATTATAATTTGATTAGCGCTCGCAAACCCTTTTTTAAAAATTGGGCTTCTGTTATTTCATATTTGAGTTCTGATGGCTTACGCTATTCAAACCTGTATGAACATTTCAAAATTAAACTACAGGATTCTATTTAGTGTAACCGGCGATAACAGCACACACTGAAATACACCATGACCAGTGACTCTGTCACGTAATTCCATCGTGTAATTGTCCTGAATACTTCTCACGTCTAAATAAAGCAGCGATTTCTCAGATTTCTCGCTGAAAGGGAAAAAATTATATTTGATCGTCACATCTGTCTGCATAACAGTCTCTGTTCATAAGTTTGAAGAGTTCTTGTAAAAAAAGATATCGCATTCGCATAACGGGTGGACGTCATAACTATATTGCATGACAACTGCACTCCGAAATCATTTCCTCCATTTTTGCAAGAGGTGCTGCATTTGTATCTTGCATTTTGAATGCGAGCTCAAAATGTTCGCATATGTCTCTTAGCATCTTGACTTTGGGACTAGACAACCTTGCTTCTCTTGCCAACGAGCACACATCATAGATATCAAACATGATTGGATGTTTCAATCTATCTCATCTATTACTGTGTTCCTCGCCTCTCTCAAACACCCTTCGTCTACATCAGACGCAGATGCTTCTATCAAGTGGTCGTCTGCGTCGGTGGCATCATCCGATTCTTGTTGTATTTTAGATCGCTGTTTAAGGCACAAACTCGAGAAGAAACCCCGAATCTGTATGTTGGATAACCACTCTGTTCTATCGAACATTCTCTCTCCATCTATTGTGCAAGCAGTTCGCATATCCTTTGCTACTTCTCTAATTTTGGTTTCTGAAAGTGTCTCATCCGATATTAAATTTCTGTTTCAAGTACTGCCTGACGTTTTGCGAAAGCCGTTCACTTGCACCTCTCTTATGAAGAGCCCATCCCATGGGAAGCTTTGATGTACTTGTCAAGGGTTCTGTGGCCACTGCAACCAGTTCAGTCGAATTTTCACCTTCTAATGACAATGACTGAAAGTGATGAACCCACTACCTCTTCACTTTGTCATAAAGACTTTAAGTCATGCTCGCAGGCACAGGACTTACATGATGAACTAGCTAGTTCATATGGAAGTCAAGGTCGGCCTGGGTCTTAAAATCTTCATCGCAACCAGGTTCAGGGCATTGATAGGAACTACCGTCGTTGCCATCATTGCTTTCTCCTGCTGATGCAGTTCGTCGAGCAGTAGTGGGGAAAAATGGAATCTCCTCCACCAGATCCGTCATTTTTTCTGTGGAAAAATTGCAATTTTAATTTTACCGAATAAACTTTCCAGGCCCAACATTAAACGCTCTTCAAACGCGCAGGCCCTCTTGTGTAAACTCAAAGTTGTGTAAGTTGCTGAAAGTGGCAATCTTGATGTTGTGATAGCAACCTGCTGCATCCGATCTTAGAAAGACCTTTTTTATTCCTGAATTTCGTAACTTTATGGTAACAAAGAGATTTTCTAGGACTGACAGCACTGAAAACCAATCTTTTTTACAGCTGTTAAGAAGGTGTACGTATCAGGTTACTTCCAGGCTTTCCTCCTGTCTTACAAGTCAACTATTATAAATGCTTCATCTCCCTCCAAAGTATCGACAATTTTCCGCTGGCACTGATCCTGGTTTCTGCTCTCAGGATATGCCCTCTCCATTCAAAGATCTTAGCGGCAGCATTTTTTGCTTCACACAAATAGTCTTCCGCTTGAAACCTACCTAACTGCATTGTGTACTCAGAAATA